TGTGAATGATATATGTGATAAAGATACTACATAAAATGATATATAAAGAACTTATATAACTCTACAGCAACCACCCCCCAAACAATCCCATTAAAAAATGGACAGAGGACCTGAATAGACATTTTTCTACATAAGACATACAGATGGCCAACAGACCCATGAAAAGATGCTCGTCTCTAATTACTAGGGGAATTCAAATCAAAACCACAATGAGGTATTACCTTACACCTGTCAGAATGGCTAGAACCAGAAAGACAAGAAACAAATGTTAGAGAGGCTGTGGAGAAAAAGGAATGTTTGTTCACTGTTGGTGGGAATGTAAATGGGTATAGCCATTGTGGAAAACATTATGAGTTTCCTAAAAAAACTAAAGATAGAAATACCATGTGATCTAGTAATTTTACTATTTGCCCAAAGAAAATGAAAACATGAATTCGAAAAGCTATATGCACCCCTCTGTTTATTGCATTAATTACAACAGCCAACGTATGGAGGCAACTGAAGTGTCCACCAATAGATGAATGGATAAAGAATGGATAAAAAGAGGTTTTATTCTCTCTCTTTACACACACACACACACACACACACAGTTTACTCAGTTGTAAGAAAAAGATGAGATCTTGTCATTTATGACAACATGGATGGACACAGAAGGCATTATGCTAAGTGAGATAACTCAGGCAGGGAAAGACAAATATCATATGATTCACTCATGTAGAATCTATATCTTTTCTAGAATTTCATATAAGTGAAATCAATCATAAGGTATATAGTCTTTTGTCTCTGGATTTTTTTTTTAAAGATTTTATTTATTTATTGATGAGAGATACAGAGAGAGAGAGAGAAGCAGAGACACAGGCAGAGGCAGAAGCAGGCTCCATGCAGGGAGTCCGATGTGGGACTCGATCCCGGGACTCTAGGATCATGCCCTGGGCCAAAGGCAAGCGCTAAACCGCTGAGCCACCCAGGGATCCCCTGTCTCTGGCTTCTTAAATGTAATGCCATGTTTTGGGGATTCACTTATGGGTGAGATGATAGAAAATATTTATTGGTTTCTATTCCTGGTTCCTGGCATAGAGCTCCTGAAACCCTTGTAATTTTCTAAGTGATAAGCACACTAGGAGAATTTTTCATTTTATCGAGGTGACTCTTGGTAGGTTTCTGGATGGGGGCTAGTCACCAGAAGGCCCTGATAAGAAGCTTGGAATTTTCAGGTTCCCTTTGACCCCCCCACTTCTCCAGAGAAAGGAGAGAGACTGAAAACATTGTTAATAATCGATCATGCTGGGATCCCTGGGTGGCACAGCAGTTTAGCGCCTGCCTTTGGCCCAGGGCGCGATCCTGGAGACTCGGGATCGAATCCCACATTGGGCTCCCGGTGCATGGAGCCTGCTTCTCCCTCTGCCTGTGTCTCTGCCTCTCTCTCTCTCTCTGTGTGACTATCATAAATAAATAAAAATAAAAATAAAAATCGATCATGCTTACATGAGAAGGCCTCTGTAAAATCCCAATAGTTAGGGGTTTAGAGAGCTCCCAGGCTGAACTCATCCACACCAGGAGTTAGCACACCCCAACTCCACAGTGACAGATGCTCCTACATTCCGGATCCTTCTAAGACCTTGCTCTATATCTCTTCACCTGGCAGTTCACCTGTATCCTGAGTTTTGTGAGCTGCTCTTGCAAATTATTCAAACCCAAGGAGGGGTTTAGTGAGAAGCACAAGTGATAACCTGGGTTTCCACTGGCATCTGAAGTTGAAGGGAAGGAGTCCTGTGGGATTGAGTCCTTAGCCTGTGGTAGCTGACACTCTCCAGGTTGTGTTAGAATTGAGTTCAATTGTAGGACACCCAGCTGGTGTCACAGAGAATTGCTTGTTGTGGACTAAAACCCTCCATACCTTTGGTGACCAGAGGTGTCAGAAGTGTTCAGTGTGAAAGTAAAAATGACACACTGCAAAGAAACACAATAGGGAGGAGTTGGATGTTTCCCTGCACAGAAAAGAAAAAAAAAACTGAGTTTTTTCATTTTATCCATGTTGCATTATTCAGTATTTTGTTCCTTCTTATTGCTGAGTAGTGGTCCATTGTATGACTATGTCACTTTTGTTTATCTACACATCAGTTGGTGGAAATTTAGGTTATTTTCTGCATAGGGCTATTATGAATAAAGATGCTATAAACATTTGTGTGCATGCTTTCATTTCTCTTGGGGAAATATATAGAAGAGTAATTGCTGGGTCATATGGTAAGTGCAAGTTTAACTTTATAAGAAACTGTTTTCTTAAATAGCTATATTATTTTCTATTGCTACCAGTGGTATATGAGAGTTCCAGTTCCTTGCCAAACCTTAGTATTGTCTATCTTTTAAGTATTTGTTGGTTTAGTGGGTACATAGTGAGTGGTATTTCATTGTGATTTTAATTGCATTTTCCTGATGACTAAGGATGTTAGGTATCTTCCCATGTGCTTATTTTTAGTTTCCTGTATCTTCTTTGAAGTTCTTTTTTTTTTTTTTTTTTTTTTTTTTTTTTGCACACTGGAAAAATTTGAGTTGTAAGAGTGCTTCTGGTGAAAGTTCTTTATTATATATGCTTTGCAAATATTTTCTCCTACTCTGTAGTTTGCTTTCTGAGTTTTCTAAAGTGTCTTTTGAAAGCAAACGGTTTTAATTTTGATGAAATCCAGTGTATTGTATCTTTTATAGTTTGTGCTGTCTCCTATTTAACAAAACTTTCCCTAACATGAAATCACTAAGATTTTTCTTCTATGTTTTCTTCTAGAGGTTTTATACTTTGGGTTCTTATGTTTAGGTCTACATTCTCTTTTGAGTTTTGTTTTTTTGTACAAGGGGTGAGTTAAGGGTCATGGTTAACATTTTCTATGTGGACATCCAGTTGTCCCTGTACTTGTATTAGTTGAAAAGATTATACTTTTACTCCATTGAGTTGTCTTGGAAACTTTGTGGAAAATCAAGTGACTGTAGAGGCCTGAGTGTATTTCTGGCATTTCTACTGCATTCCATTGATTTCTTTATCTTTCTTTCCACCAATGCCACCCACACTGTCTTGATTACTACCATGGCTTTATAATACATCTTGATATCAAGTAGTATGAGTCTGCCAACTTTGTTCTGTTTCAAAATTGTTTTGCCTCTCTAGATTGTTTGTGTTTCCATTTAAATTTTAGAATCTGATTGTCCATTTCTTTTTTAAAAAGATTTATTCATGAGAGAGAGAGAGAGAGAGAGAGAGAGAGAGAGAGGCAGAGACACAGGCAGAGGGAGAAGGAGGCTTCAAGCAAGAAGCCTGATGTGGGACTCTATCCCAGGACTCTGGGATCATGCCCTGGGCCAAAGGCAGAGGCTCAACTGCTGAGCCACCCAGGTGTCCCTGATTGTCAATTTCTATAGAAAAACCTTTTTGGCTTTAGGGATTTCGATTGGAATGAGATTGAATAGATTAACTTGGAAAGAATAGACATCTTAACAATTTAGGGTCATCTGATCCATAAGCATCTTATCTCTCTCCATTTATTTAGGATTTCTTTAATATCTCTCAGCAATATTTTGTATTTGTCCACAGAATGTTTTTGCCGGAACCTCCTAGCTTCTGAATCCAAGGGTTTATTTCAGTCCCAATCCTACTAGACCTCTTCAGTGCCAACATTGGACCATTACCCCTTTTTTTAGTCTCTTTCCTCCCCAGACTTTGTGTCCTCACCCTGCTTTTGTCTTTTGGATAGCCCCATCCTGCTATCCCACAGGTGCTCTCACTGTTTCACAGGAACCCAATCAACTATGCTCCAGGTGGCTGCAGTTAAATGGTCAGCTAAGTTGGTGATGATCTGTTCTGAAATTTTCTCTTGGATCTTTTAGAGAATGGTCTGCCTTTCCTCCAACAATTGTGGGATGATGATATTTTAAAAAGTGTCTTTAAAGAGATGTCATTCTTGGGCAGCCCGCGTGGCTCAGCAGTTTAGCATCCCCTTCCCCAAGGTGTGATCCTGGAGACCCGGGATCGAGTCCCACATCGGGCTCCCTGCATGGAGCCTGCTTCTCCCTTTGCCTGAGTCTCTGCCTCTCTCTGTGTGTCTCTCATGAATAAATAAAATCTTTAAAAAAAAAAAGTCATTCTAGGAGTGGGTGAGTTTGGAGATGGGGGTAATTGCTATGTTGGAAAACCTAGCAGTTTTGCAGGATTTCCTACCCAGCATCTCAGCCTAGACCTCTCCACAGTTTTCTTGAGTCACTATTTTTTAACAACGCCCATTTATTAAAAAACACACACACTGAAATTTACATAACACAAATCATTTTAAAGTGAACAGCTTTGTGGTCTCTCCCCATTCCCCCCTACTCCTAGCTCCTGGTAACCACCAATCTGTGTCCATTTCTCTGTGGATTTATCTATTATGGATATTTCATAGGGAATCATACCATATGTGTGACCTTTTGTGGCTGGTGTTCACTTAGCAAAATGGCTTGGAGGTTCTTGAGTCTTTTTAAAACTGTTCTATCTTGTTAAACTGTTCTCTGTTATTTAATGGGAATCCCTGGTTACCCAGCCTGTCCGATGAAGCTTTAGTACATAATTGACAACATTAACAGTAATATGCCAACAGCAGTGTTGTCTTAGGGACAGTGTTGGGTGCTGTCTGTTGGTTCTTCCAGAATTGGCCTTAAGTGCAAAGTTACACAACTACACTTGACATTTCATCAAGAAAAAAAAAAAAAAACAAAAAACAGAATATTCCAAACTAACTTCCTTATTAGCAAGATGCTACCATACATTCGATGCCTTTAGGAAAAAAGCAGAGAAAGATAGGAAGAAACGGACAGTTGAGAGCCAGCTCTGGAAGCTCTCAGACCTGTGCAGGAGATATAAAAATTGTCTCAGTCTCCATGCTTAAAGCCGGGCTCAAACAGTGATTAAAGCGGCACCTTTTGTGGGACCGTCCACTGCACTAGGTTCCCTAAAGTGTGGCTCCTGTGCGCCGCTTTAGGGACAACCAGAGCAAACCTTCCAGCATTCCGGACAGGGCACACGCTCACCTGCAGGGTGCCTGGAACACGGGTTCCGAGGGAAGCCACTGTTTATTCCGTGGGCATAAACAGCCGGACCGCCGGAGGAGGAGTCCAGGTGGCCACGAAGCCGCGGTGCGGAAAGGGAACTCACCTGCTCTCGGGACAGCAGTGGGTGCTTACAGCCTTCAGCCTGCACGCCCTGGTTCACTAAGCGCAGCCAACCGCACTTTCCTAGTGTGCCCTCCTCCGTGCGCTGTGAACGTCCACAGACTAGTCCCAGCCGCCACGCAGCCTGGACCTAGCAGCCGGCTCCCCACCCTCCTCAAGGGCGCCGGTCTGACTCGGGAGCAGGAGGCCTCTGTCGCGGCCGAGACTCCGCGGAGCAGCCTTCACCGAAACAAGGATCTCCAGCTGGCCCCGCCCCCGGCCCCGCCCCCTGGCGCCCATTGGCTGATTCGATTGACGCCGCGGCCCCGCGGCCCCGCAGCCCCGCGTGCTTCATTGGCTGCGGCGGCGGCGGCGGCGGCGGCGGCGGCTGGCAGTGAGAGCGCAGACGCGTCCCCCGCTCCGCTGTTGGCGAAGAGCGGCCCAGCCGTGCCCCAGGAGCTGCGGCTGCCCTCGAGCCAGAGAACTCAGCCCGCGTTCAGAGGTGAGGGCCGCGGGGCCGGGGCGGCGCAGCCCGCGGGCGCCTGGTTTCCCGGAGGGGCCGGGGCCCGGGGCCGGGGCCGGGCCGGGGGACGAGGGCCACCGTGGGCGAGAGAGGGGCGCGGACTCGGCAGCCGGGGCCTCGAGTCCGCCGACCAGCGTCAGCCCTGACCAGACGCGCGAGAGCCCCTGGTAGCTCACCCGGTCTTTCAGCTGCATCCTCCGTTTTTGCGAATTGGACCACCGAGAGCGGCCCGGTCCGTGGTGGTTGGGTGCGGGCTGAGCGCCTCCGGTGCGGTCGTCCCTGGCCGGGCGTGACCCTCGGGTGGCGGGGACGGGCCTGCTGAGGGAGAGCCCGTTTAGCGAGGGAGGGTGCGCGGCCCTCACCTCTCAGGGGGCCCGGGCGTCGGGCACGCGGGACCCCTGGGAGTGGGCGGGCGGGCGGGCGGGGCCGCGCCGGGCTGGAGACGACTGCGCTTGCGCAGGGCGCTCCCGCCTCCTGAGTGGAGAGCCAGTTTGTGGGGAGAGGTGGGGTTGCCTCTTCTGAATCGGCTTTGTGGATTCTGGGTTTGGCTGGGTTTTCAGAAATCATATTGTTCTTTGCCCTGCACATGGGAACACAGAGGAAAGACACTCTCACCCAACCCAGTTCTGGTCGATTAGAACTTGGAGCTAGTGTCTCAGTTCTGCTCCTCAGTTTCCTAAAGCTTGGCTTTCGGTAACCATACGTTGAAAATATGTTCTCCGTGTTTTTCACTTTCAGACAAAAGAGAATGTGATTCTCGTGAAGTGGTTGTGGGAAGCTTTTATGGTAACGATCTCTTAAAAAATGGGATTATTTCTCAAAGCCAGTACTCATTGAGATATTTTCTGTTTGTAAGATGTGATCTCACTTTCCAAAATGAGATGTTCATTTAGTGAATTGATAACGTTATCACAAATGTTGACTTGTTGCTTTTTTGTCACTTAGAACAAAAACAAAAACTCAAGGAACGGATATTACAAAGAAAAACGTTTTTTGCATATAAACAGGAAAATCATATATCCAGGTGAGGTCAAATTTTCTCATTTCAGATCTATAAAATTAGATCATCTAATAAAAATGTCGTGGGAACCACAGTTGTAACGTGACTTAAAATTTTCAGGGTGCCTGGGATGCTCAGGTAAGCATCCCACTCTTGATTTCGGCTCAGGTCATAGTCTCAGCGTCCTGAGATCAATCCCCCACTTCAGGCTCTCCCCTCTGTGGGGAGTTTGCTTGTCTCCCTCTCCCTCTGCCCTTCACCCTGCCTGTTCTTTCTTTCTCTTAAGTAAATCTCTAAAAAATTTTCTAGTAGCCATATTTGAAAAGTCTATTTATTTAACAGAATATGTTAGTTATTTAAGAGAGAGCTGGGCGTGGGGGTGGGCAGAGGGAGAGGGACTCCTCACTGAGCATGGAGCCTGAGGTGGGGCTCAATTCCAGGACCTTGAGATAATGACCTGAGTTTATCTAAGCCACCCAGGTGCCCTCTGGAACGTCTTTTTAAAAGATGAATTGTGATAACATTTAATCCAGTACATCCCATGTTATAGTTTAACATGTAATTCTTGAAAGTTATTGAGATATTTTACTATTTTGTGTGTGTGTGTGGTGCTGAGTTTTCAAAATCAGTGTCTGTATTTTACACTTTCATACGTCAATTTGGACTAGCCACATTTCAAGTGTTCAGTAGCCATACCTTCTTGGATAGCACAGCATTTCCTGTGTAAATTAATTCAGACTCTCAGATGAAACAATTTTAAAGCAAAGTGTATATATTAAATCATTGACTTATGGTCTATGCAGCGCTACAAAGGTCAGTCTTAATTTAGCAAGGTTTATACTCAGTATGTTTCGGGGGCTGGGACATGGATGGTTATTCTTTGGGAGGTGGCTTCCCCAAAATATTTAGAGATTATTTGTTTTAGTCTCAGCCCTGGATAGGAATATCTAGGTGTTACTGTGGTAAAATTTTAAAAGTAGTACATAGTTGTGGCAAAAGAAAACCCCGTGAAGGTATATAAAGCAGAAGATCAAAAGGTCCCCTCTAGAGATAACTGTTAGTAACAACCTTTAGGCCCTTTCTGTGCATTCTAAGGGCACTGGCTTTAGAATGATAAGGACTGAACTCTGTAAGTCTGCTACTATAGCTGTGTAACCTCAGGGGAGTTACATGGCCTCGTAGAGTCCATTTAACTTCTATTAAAAATGGATAATTGTGTTTCTTGGGGATTAAATGAGATACAGAATGCATTGTGCTATGCCTGGTATATGGAGAGAACCCCAGTAAATGGTAGCTGTTATTTCCTGATCTCTCAGTGGCTTTACACACAGAGTACTGGTTCTTGAGTTACTCTATTCTGGTTTCTTCCGTTTCTCCAAACCGTTATTGCTATATGTTGTCTTTGTAAATACTTAATACCCTTCCTCATGGTTGAAGGTGGTCAGATGGTGCTTATATTTAGGAGGTACAGATGCCAGGACTTGGTGATGCTGGATTAGGTATGGATGGGACATCTATAGATTTGATAACTACTATGGTTATGTAAGAGAAAATCATTATTTTTTGAACAATGAAGCATTTAGGGTTTAAGGGTAATCATGTATATATCTGGAAAGATTCAGGGAGAAAAAATTGCATATACTCCACACATACACATGTTTAGAAACAATGCAAATGATAACATAAATGGGATAAAGGTTAACACTATGCAAATTTGGGTAAATAGCATATGAATATTCTTCGAACTATTTATAATTTTGTAACTCTATGTAAGTTTGGCATTATTTCCAAATTTTAACTTTACACTAATGAGTTACTTTACATGCTTTACATTTTCTTTTACAAATCTCACATTCCTCATTTAAAACAAAGACAATCCTAGATTTTTTGTTTGAATAAGTGACTGGATAGTGATACCATATATCAAGATGGGGAAGACCAAGGGAGGAATGGGGGAATCAGGAGCTCTCTTTTGGCCATGCTAAGTTTGAAATACCAAAAGGACATCAAAGTGGAAATGCCGAGTCGTTATGTGTCTGAAGGGTTGGGTTGAGATTGGGACTAGAGAGTTAAACTTGGGAATTATCAGATTGTAGATATTTATTTAAAACTTTGAAGTGTGATAAGACTACTGAAGAGTGATTTAGAATAGTCAAGTAAGACCGAGCATAACTCTCAATTACTTACTTAAATAAGGAATTCAGCTGGATCGTGGGGTTTATAATACTCTTATACACAATGGGAAGAAAAGAAAATTCTGAAATTCTTCTGGTTTTACCAAGAAATCTCACAAGTACTGTATTCATTTCAGAAAACGCATGTCAACTTAAATATTGTTATTTGAGCAGTAAATTGTTAGACAACCAATCAGAGTTGCAGCTTTTCAAAATTAAATCATTCTATTTTACAATCTCTAGTGTGGGTATTTTGAGATTCATATATTTAGATAACTCTTGTGAGGTCACGTTTTATCGTAAGATAGAATGGGACAATGCACTTTTAGATAACTCTCCATACTGGGCGGTGAATCAGGTAGATACTCTCCTTACCCTGAAATTTTTTTAGCTAGCAGTTAAAAAGTAAAAAAGTTAGCCAACAGTTTCAAGACTAAGCATTAGGCTTCTGTTAGCACAGAAAAGGAGGAGTCCCTGAGAAATATAAAACTGAAAATTTAAAAAGCAGATGAAAAATTTAAAATTTGAATGCAGCTTTGAGCCCTAGCGAAGTTAGGAAGAAAGACAGACTCAACAGAAGTGGACCACTGAGGTAGGAGGAAAAGGAGAAGAGCTGGTGTTTGGTAGCAAAGTGAAGAAAGTGCTGCTTAAAGGTTCAGGAGGGTGGAAACAGAATTGACCCTTGAATGTAGAAACATGGAAGCAGATGACATTAGGAATCTCCAGTAGAGGGCTGAGGACACGTTCCTAATAGGCATGGGGAATATGACAACATGGGGACAGTGTACAGGTACATACTTTTGAGGACTTTTGCTATAAATATAAAGCAAAGAGAAGGCAGGGGCTGAAAGGGAATATGGGGCTTAAGGGCTTTAAGATGAGATATCATAGTGTTTATATGCTGATGGGAGTGATGTAGTAGAGGGGCAAGTTAATGATGCAAAGAATGAGCAAATCATCACAGGAACAAAGATCCTGAGTAGGAGGTTTTTTCTCCCCCTCATTAAGTTTTTTTTTAATGGGTCTCAAAATTCTGTGAAAGATTTTAGATACGTTCTTGACATTGAAGCCCTTGTTATCACCAAAAGAGCCTCACTCAAAGCTTCATGGTGCATTTGGACAGACTACTTCAATTGTAACAGTGACTGGAGCAAAGATGACCACCATGCCAGGTTTAAGAACACCAGTCTCCACTCTGCCCACAGGAACAGTACCAATACCACCAATTTTGTAGACGTCCTAGAGAGGCAGGCACAAGGGCTTATCTGTTGGACAAGTTGGTGGCAGAATGCAATCCAGAGCTTCAAGCAGTGTGGTTCCACTGCCATTCCCATCTTTATGGGTGACTTTCCATCCCTTGGACCAAGGCATGTTAGCACTTGACTCCAGCATTTTGCACCATTCCACCAGAAATTGGCACACATGCTACTGTGTTGGGGTTGTAGCCAATTTTCTTAATGTAGGTGCGTACTTCCTTAATAATTTCCTCATATTTCTCTTGGCTGTAGGGTGGCTTAGTGGAATCCATTTTGTTAACACTAACAGTTGTTTTACACCAGGTTTGTAAGCCAGAAGGGCATGCTCACAGGTCTGCCCATTCTTGGAGATACCTGCTTTAAATTCATCAACACCAGCAGCAATAATCAGGAAAGCACAGCCAGCCTGAGATGTAATGATGTTTTTGATAAAATCTCTGTGTCCTGGGGCATCAATTATGGTCACGTAATACTTGCTGGTCTCAAATTTCCACAGGGAGATATCAATAGTGATACCACGTTCACATTCAGCTTTCAGTTTATCCAAGACCCAGGCATACTTGAAAGAGCCCTTTCCCACCTCAGTAGCCTGCTTCTCAAATTTTTCAATCTTTTGTTGATCCCACTGCTTTGGTAGATCAGATGACCAGTAGTGGTAGACTTGCCTGAATCTATGTGTCCAATGACGACGCTGATGTGAGTTTTTTCCTTTCCGTTTTGGTTTAGGTTTAGTGGTGGTTTTCATGACCCCTGTATTCTGGTGGCAAACCTGTTGTGGAAAAGCCTGAGTAGGAGTTCTTTATAAATTTTGAAATGAACTCCTTTTCAGATATGTATTTCATAAATAACTTCTCTCATTTAGATTTTTTTCTCTCAAAACAAAACAAAAAAACTGAGAGAGCGTACATGTGTCTGAGTGGGGATGGGGGGCAGAGGGAGACCGAGAATCTTTTACAAGCCCAGTGCAGAACCCAGTATGAAACTAAGGTGAGACTCTGACTCATACCCTCAAATCATGACCTGAGCTAAAATCAAGAGTCTGACACTTAACCGACTGAGCCACCCAGGCACCCCACCTTTCCATTTGTTGATGGTTTCCTTTGCTGTGCAAAGGCTTTTTTTAGTTTGATGTAGTCCTAGTTATTTTTACTTTTGTTTCCCTTGCCTGAGGAGACCCATCCAGCAAAATATGGCTAAGGCTGATGTCTGGGAGTTTATTGCCTCTCTTTCTTTTTACAAGTTTTATGGTTTCATTAGGTCTTTAATGCATTTTGAGTTTATTTTTGTGTATTGTGTGAGAAATTAGTCCAGTTTCATTCTTTTGCATTGGGCTGTACAGTTTTTCCCAAACAATTTATGTGTAGAGGGCTAAATTTTTTTCAATGGAGGTCTGTTACTAAGTACTTAAAACTAATTACAGAAAATGTTGCCTAATAAGGGTTTTGAGGATTTGAGTGACTAGGAAGAATGATTTGGAATGAGGTTATCATATGTTTATGTACACTGTGTGGGGAGGGTGTTAAGACTTTTAAAAATAAATCTTTAAATTCCTCACCTCTCTTGTTTATTAACTCATCCTGTAATGAAGAAAAAGGACAAACGTCAGCTCCATTCTTGCCTCAATTTAATATTACAAAGTCAGATGATTGTTAATATTCTCTCATTCCTCCTCACCAAAGAGAAATCTTCCTTAGTATGTGGTTAAACTTTTTTTCATTTTTTACTTTTTAAAGTAGTACAGGCCAGAAAGTGATGAACTCTGAAGGCCAGATCCAGGAAGAGACAAAAGTTCTGAAATTCAAAACAAAAATGGTAAGAAATGGACATAGCCCTCATAAACTGTCCTCTTTCCCCCTTCCCCTTCCAAAACTCTTAAGAATGAGTTCTGAAATACTGATTTGTCTTAAATCATTGTTTTAGGCTGGTAAAGAAAATGTCAGTAGACTTCCTGTGAACAAAAATAATATAACTATGGGGAAAAATTGTATTCCTTTAAGACCTTCTAATGAATTAGCCAATTTAACAATGATAACTGACACACATAATTTGGAGGATAATAATCACACAAGACAGTCGGTACCAATTGAAGATGGCCCTCAAAGTCAACACATGACATTGAGCCAAATGTTTCATCTTAAAAACAACAGTAAAAAGAAACAAATATCTACAGAAAAACCAAAGCAAGATGCTAACATGCCTAAGAAGCTTGTGCTTGGGTCTTACAATGGTCAAATTGTTAAATCTAGGATTAATTCATTTAGAAAGCCCCTACCAGTCAGAGATGAGAGTTCTGTAGCAACAAAGAAACTTTCAGCTACTATCCCTAAAGCCCCAGAGCCTCTGCCCGCAGACACCAGCAGTTTGACAGTAAAAAGTCCTAGAGCCCCAAACGGGATGACCACCACTCGACCTGTGAGCACTGCCTCTCAGGACAGACGGCTGGTGCGGCCTCCTATCAGAAGTCACTGCAACAGTGCTCAGGACCCTGTGAAGCAAGGCATCAGGAGAACTGCCAGTGTTACAATCCGGAAAGGGCCTCAGGAGAAGGAATTACTGCAGTCAAACACAGTTTCATCTAGTGCCAAAACCAGTTCTCAGGATGTGGAGAGAAAGACGACAGTGTCAAGAAGCCTGATGTCCAAAATTGTAGCCAGACCTGCTTCATCTTTTAACACCAGACTGATCCAGAAGTCAAAAAGCATTGATCCTTGCAGACACTCTGTAGCAAAAGCAACTATTGATAGATCAATTCAGCCCAAAGAAACAGCAGAAGAGAGAAAGTAAGTGGATGTAATTTTATTAGCTTAATTTTCAGTAGAGTACTTATAAATTTGGTTTATACACTCCTTGAACGTATTAGAATTTGTATGTGGATTCTCCTCTGTCATACGCAGACCAACAGAAGCAAATTTATGTGCGGGACAATATGAGCTAAGTTACTGTGTTTGTGTTTCATTAAGTTGTTGTAATATAATCTGCAGTGCTTAATACCATTAGGAAATATTTTATAATCTCTCCATTTAAAAATGCATTCTTAGGGTCTTTGATCATATTACCAACATTGATATGTTCGGGATTTTTCTTTGAACTTGTGAACTTACCTGTGTGCCACTAGTGTGGAGCTACTCAAAGACCAGAGTTATTTTTTAACTTCTCTGACAGAATTCTATCATCAGTATCACAGTGATGCTTATATCCTGCTTCTCACTATAGAGCTCGTCTGAGTGAGTGGAAAGCTAGCAAAAGAAAAATGCTAAAAAGACCTCCTAGCTCAGGAGTTACCCAGTCTGAGCCCGAAGAGCGAAATGAAATATCATCTGAGTCCTTCTGGACTACCATGGTAGAAGAAGATGAGCAAAGATTATTTACTGAAAAAGTGAACAAGACATTTTCTGAATGCCTAAATCTGATTAATGAGGTACAGTCCTTATATTTGTGTAGTAGATTGTAGTTTGTAAGTTATCTTATAAATGTTATCTCACTAAATTAATTACATTGTCACTCTTTTGACCATATAATGCGTTAGTGGTGTTCTGTAGACCTATTGTGAGATTCCCTTTAGCCTAAAATGGACTGCATTTTCATTGAGTTCATATAAATACATCAAAGGAATAATAAGATTTTTTTTTACCTTTTTTTTTTTTTAACTTAGAAATTCTGCATTCCTCTAAGATGTTAATATAGAATGGGCTGGGATGGATATTTACTCTGACACCTCTATTTTTTTACACTCCTTCAGCATATTTACATATTATTTTTTTCCACTCATTACATACTTTACCGAAGACAGGCAACATAAAGTAGTGATTCATTATCACAGATTACATTCAAGTTAACAAAATTCTTGCAAACAAAATTCCATTAATCTAAACCAGCATCATCATGGTCTTAAACTTATTGTAGAGATTCACTATTTGGATCAAAATCCTACAGAGTGGGATGCCTGGGTGGCTCAGCGGTTGAGCTTCTGCCTTTGGCTCAGGGTGTGATCCTGGAGACCTGGGATTGAGTCCCATATCGGACTCCCTGCATGGAGCCTGACTCTCCCTCTGCCTGTCTCCGCCTCTCTCTCTCTGTGTGTCTCATGAATAAATAAATAATCATTTAAAAACAAAACAAAACAAAACCCTGCAGAGTATACTAACTCCAGACTTTATTTCCTGACTACTCTTTGATCTTGCTTTGGTCACCCATGGTGTTTGAGATCCATAGTAAGACTGAATATACGGAATATGATTTCAAACCTTACTCTGGCTTCATGAGCATCCTTAAGCTTTTTGTGATTTTTGAGGACCAGTGAAAATTAGAATTGGAGTTTCCCTGATTATATCCTTATTTCTGTTCAGTTGGGGTTTGTCATTGATTACTGGGAAGTTTTCAGCCCTACCATTGAATTGTATATAGCTCTTACTTACATAAACCATTACAGATTGATTTTAACCTTAATATCAAGATCTGACAAAGACAGTTTTTAAAAACCTGCAAGCTATTCCCCCTCAAACATTTGGTAGGTGCAGAAATTCTACATCAAGTATTAAATGGAGTCCCACAATCTATAAAAGGATAATCGTCAAACTAAGTAAAGTGTTAGTCATTTTTGACTATTATTTTTCTCAATTAGAATTTCATTTTTTTCCTGCTTTGTACTTAGGATTAATATGCTTCTTGCTAACCAGAGTAAGTTTACAGTAGGGAAGAGAACACTGAATTTTTTATGAATGATTTTTCTATCCACTTTTTCTCTTGTTATCATTGATCTTGATTATAGTAAGCTTAATTGTTCATAGTTTGGAGGCTAAAGGGTATCACTCACTTCACTACTTGCTATTTTAGGGATGCCCAAAAGAAGAAATATTAGTCATACTCAATGACCTGATTAAAGATATTCCAGATGCTAAAAAACTTGTTAAATATTGGATATGCCTTGCACATATTGAACCACTCACAAGTCCTATTGAAAATATCATCACAATCTATGAGAAAGCTATTTTGGCAGGGGCTCAGGTAAGATTAAGACTTACTGATCTTTGTTAACACAGTGTAAAGGATTGAGTTATTTTGGAGCATATCACAATGTAACTTAATAAAATTGTGATTACATATGTAGTAGTAATGAATGTTTAAAAACCACAATGATCACATATTATAAAAGCTGTTTCTCCACCTTCTAAAACTTGCCCGTGAACTAGTGATAATCAGACCTTAGAAGATGGATATATGCTGAAATGTACATTTAATGAAACCTGCTGTGAGAAATGTTAGCACAACATGTCATTTCACACATTTCATAATTAAGAAATCTGGGAAATTGAATTTTTAATATTAAAATTTATTTAATGGATATAATGCAAGTGGAATTAAATTAACTTTTAAAATATTAGGTTCTGTGGCTTTATGAGAGAAGTCTTTCACTTGAAGAGCATTTCTTAATATTCTCACATTTTTATGCTATATGTTTGGTCCTGTCCACACATAGAAAATGACAATAAACTAGTTTCTCTGACTTACTAGACCCATAGTGATTTGATACCATACCTCTCACCTCTTCCTACTGTTGCTACCAAAGGCTCTGGGTACAGAATAAATTGTATCTAGGTTTTTTGGTTTGGTTGGGGTTTTTGTTTTTATGGGCAAATGTTTCTAAAATGCATTTCCTTTTGACCAAGTTTCTCAAAAATGCATTTTTGGAGATTATGTGCAGAGAGTTTTAAAAAATTATTTTCTTTAGCCTTGAAGAAAGGTCTACTCATTTTGGTCTCAGCAAAGCCAAAAAATGCTATTTGACCTTGCACTTGAATCAAAAATCAAATATTCAGCAGATACTCTCTCAATGGCTATTTTGTATAAAACACTTGCTGAAGGGTAATTGTATTTGACAGAATCCCACCTGGAAAAGGGTGTGAGGTTAGCTAGGATGCATAATTGGAGCCAAGGATTCACATAGAAAGCAGAGTGTAAAGAGAAATATGTGACACTGGAACAGAATATTGAAAACAAGGATGAAAATTAGCCAAGAAAGTGGAAAGCAGGAGTGAGTGGTCCAGGACTATGTTCTAGAACTAAGAATATGAGCCAGACTTCCTTTTTATATAATATCTTGAACATGTTACGTTAGTAATCATGGTAGTACAGAGGAACATAGTAAGTGCTTATATGTTTTGGCATATAAGGGACACAGTGAACTGTTGATTTTTGAATGAGTGAATGTTATGCTGGTCAACCTTGAGCTCTTCAGAGATGCATAATAGTATGTGAAAAAAACACATAACCATAGGCTTGAATGTAGGAGAAAAGAAGTAAACTTTATATTAAATTCATTTTAAACTTGTATTATCAGCTCTTTAAATATTGTTAGTTTGCTACTTGTCCATTAATTTTGCTAATATCAAACAAGCAGTTAATAGTTACCAGAGGCTTAAGAAAAATTGTGGGGGAAAATTTTAATCTGATAATTCTATTCCTTCTGGGGTTTTTTTCTATAAATTAAAAGAGTCATTTTCAAAAATTCAAGTGGCAAAACAAGTATTCTGAGAAAAGAAACATGGTCTAAGAACTGCCTTGTTATAAAGTATGAAATAGAATCACTGTTTTTAGTATTTTTGACTTGCACAACTGAGTTACTGTCTGAGAATATAAAACGTATTTTTTCATTAAAAAATTAAGCCTATCGAAGAAATGCGACATGTAATTGCAGATATTTTAACAATGAAGAGTCAAGAAAAAGTCAAATATGGTAAGTTTTTAATTTTTTCCAGTGAATTATGATTTTATTAAATTTCTCTGAATATTTTTCTTTTTTTAAACTTTTAAACAAGTTTGTAGGATGTTTCTCTCCTCTTACATCTGTGGGCATACCTCTGAGATTCAGTGGCTTTATGTAGTGTAAGAACTTTTAGTTAGGATGTCTGGTTCAAAACTCAAATTTATCTTTGAGTGTCTATGAAAGTTACCTTACCTCTCTAGGCCTTAATTCCCTTTGTTAAAATGAGGCAGTTTGGGTAGCCCCAGTGGCGCAGCGGTTTAGCGCTGCCTGCAGCCCGGGGCGTGATCCTGGAGACCCTGGATCGAGTCCCAGGTCAGGCTCTCTGTATGATGCCTGCTTCTCCCTCTGCCTGTGTCTCTGCCTCTCTCTCTGTCTCTATGAATAAATAAATAAAATCTTAAAAAAATAAATAAATAAAAATAAAATGAAGCAGTTTGATTAGATGACCTCTAAAATTTTACCTATTAAATTCTATCATCTCTTCTGTGCTCTAGAGAAGCTCATTAAAGAATTCTCTTTGCTAGGGATAGTAGATAGAGGGAAGAAGGTCACTTAGCTGTCAGGTATATGAATGTAAAATTTTTCTAGATTCACGTATATCCTATAACTGAAACATCTCTTGGTGAAAATCTCTAATAGATATAAATGTCTTTTCAGCTTGCTGGATTTCTCAAGATGTCTCAGGTATTTCACCTAGCATGTTTTATTTTGAACTCACTGTCCTTCCCTCATTGCTTCTCCATACCATCATCTCTTCTCCCAAAAAAAGAAAAGGAAAAAAAAGAAAATCCTCTGCCATTGAAGAGACCTAAGCAAGAAATGTTAGAAGAGATGCCCTTGTTCCGAATGCACATGCATTCATTTGTTAAGCCCTAAATTAGAAATAACTTACAAATCAGGCTCTTTCTTCTCACTGCTTACCTCTCTACCACCTTGCATAGAGACAACCACAGCCTTACTGTCTTTTATTGTCTTTTCATCACAGATCATTCCTTTTCATTCTTTGCCATTCTAAACCATCCTTTATAGAGGTCAAATCTGATTGTATCTCTATTTCTGCAGTGAAGATTTTTTTAAATCAAAATTCTTGCATGTAAAGTTCATTATAATTCAATCCAGCACTTTCTACCTATCTGAACTCATCATCTCCTCTCCAGATTCCCACCTTGCTATTTACTGTATATTCAAAGTATGCTGGCCTGTTAATGTTGTCTTAATAGGCCCATTTCCTTTTTTTTTTTTTAATTTTTTTTTTTTATTTATTTACAATAGTCATACAGAGAGAGAGAGAGAGGCAGAGACACAGGCAGAGGGAGAAGCAGGCTCCATGCACCGGGAGCCTGACGTGGGATTCGATCCCGGGTCTCCAGGATTGAGCCCTGGGCCAAAGGCAGGCGCCAAACCGCTGCGCCACCCAGGGATCCCGGCCCATTTCCTTTTAAGCTTTATAACCAAGATTGTCTTCCTTGGTCTTGTCAAGTACTTGTTTCTTAAGAGCCAGCCTAAATGTGATTTGTGAAGCTTTCTCTAGCCCTCTCCCTGTCCCCCAAGCAAAGGTAGCTGTTACATTTTATGGGTTCCATAGCCCTTTGTTCTTATGTCAACTAAATAGAATTTTTCTCATTTTAATTACTTTCAAGCATGTCTCTTCCATGGAATGTGAACTTAACAGGGATGATTTCATTCTTATATCTGTATCTATAATCCCAACCCATAGGTGGTAGTGAATATTTAATAATTTGTCAGCAGTATTGGCTTAGGAAAAGTAATGGTTAGGAGATGGCAGTTTGGTTCTTCTGTTTTGAAAACCTGACCAACTATGAATAACTGTAATGTCTTCTGATTTTGCTCTTTAAATTTGATCAACAGCTTAATCTGTTAATGTATTTCTATAGGAGAAAGTGTTGAGGCTTGTGCAACCAAGGAATACATCCAGGATGTCAGCAGTGAAGATATAGGTGTTAATCTAGAGTCAGGAAAACCAGAAACGGAAAAGAAACCTAGAAATGTGGTATTTCAAGATGATGAAAAAGAGCAAGATGACAAAACAAAATATCTAACCAATGATGTTAAAACCCCCAGTGCAGAAACTGGAGGGAGTTGCTTAATTAAATATAATGTGTCTACTACACCATACCTACAAAGGTAAACTTTCAAAATGTACGTTGTGATTTGTTTTTATGTTTAGGAAGAATAAATGCGATACCTAAACTTTAGCTTCCAATTAGAACTACTGTTAATAAAAAGGTTTTAAATAAATCAGTATCACTGGGACACGTCACCTCTTCTTTTTTTCTTTTGAGAGAGAGAAAGAGTGTACAAGTTGGGGACAAGAGGCAGAGAGAGAGAGAATCTTAAGCAGGCACCACACCCAGCACAGAGCCCTCTTACAGTCGATCTCACACCCTGAGATCATGACCTGAGCCGAAATTAAGAGTAAAATGCTTAATTGAGTGAGCCATCCAGGCACCCCTGGACACTTCACCTTTTAAAATACTGTATTTGCTTTGCTTTTTCCCTAAGTATTACCATTTTGTAAAAGAAAACTGGCATCATTTTACTTTAATGTCTGTATGCTATTGATAATAGTAGGTCTTGGAATTGAGCAATTAGCCAATTGTACAGATATCCAAGAGTCTACTGTAATGACAAATAGAGAAACCAGTTCCTAACTGGTTCTTTTTTTTTTTTTTAAGACAGGCAATCACATGATTGCAACTTACAAGTTATAGTATGATAAATGATATTGGAGAATAAAGTGAAAATGTTAACGTTTTTTAACTATGGGAATGATTTTGTGTCTTTTTAGTATAAAAAAGAAGATACAGTTTGACAATACAGATTCTACATTTAAAGAGCTAAAGTTTCTAACACCAGTTAGACGTTCTCAACGTATTCAAGAGAAAACTTCTAAATTGCCAGATATGTTAAAAGACCATTATCCATGTGTGTCTTCACTGGAGCAGTTAACAGAGTTGGGAGGTGAAACTGATGCTTTTGTATGCCGTCCTAACACAGCCCTATGCCCGATGTACTCAGAGACTGGAACAGCACAAGAGAAATAAAGCAACGATCAGTAATGGGACTTTTATTGTTCTGGGGTTTTTGTTTGCTTGTTGTGGCTTTGTCTCTTAGAAGTTGGCCAAGTACCTAAGTATTCATGGCAGTAAGCTCTTTTACTGATGTTCACATTATAGCAGGAGTTGCCTTGTCAATCTCAGCAGAGGGAGTTACTAAGAAAGTTAAATTTTGTCAAGTAGTTCAAACCTGTTTATATTCAAGGAGCATAGTGATCATAATGTTGGCTTCACTTTTAATAGTCTTAAATTGTTAGCTATTAAATGTAAGTAAATGTACATCATCAGAAAAGGTATTCTAGGTAAAATTTATATATTTATCTGGACATGTTCTTAAAATTTAGAATATACATGCCAGCCTTTAAACAGAATACTGACTCTACTATTAAGTCTTGTCCGTTAAAACAGGATAGTTATGTACAATTAAGTCTTCTCTCCACACATAAATATCACGTGTAAAATTGCCTTATAAGTCTCCAAACTATCCTCTATCAATTTTATAGTTTCAAAGAGTCAGTAGTTTCAAAACTGTGTAATATAAATGTGCTTGAAAATCCTAGTCTTTTGTTCACTCATTCCATTTGTATAATGGCACCTGTCTTTGGTTCTATTGTCTTATGCTCTCGAGAAGATTTTTATTCTTTTATAAACTGTGTACCTAATGTTGATTAAATATATATCTGTATAGTGATGTTTCAGTGACATTTATTTCAACAAATACGAAATGCAGTTTACAGTGAATAAATTTGAACCTTTCTTTTGAAATACATTATGTTGGATTTGACTTGGGGTTTTTAATAACCAAATTTTTCAAAAGGAAATACCATTAAGCACATATTTATCAATCTATCTAAAGGTTTATCTTAATTTTTAATTTTTACCTTAAATTTTTTTTCATGCTTTGTATAAATGGTGCAAAATGTGCCATTTTAAAATAAACTTCAAGCTGGCCTATACTTTGTCTCATAAGAAGCATACCATGTGCTTCATTTGGCCATACAGAGTAGCTTGAAATGTCTCAGTGAGAGGAACTTGAGATAAACCATTCTGCTTGGACAAGTTTCATAGCTTTTCCCTCTCCTCCCTCAACTGTGGGAAAGTCTGTCTCTAAACAGACATAGGTCTCACTCCTTTTCAGCTGCTTAAGAACGATTATCCAGTGTCTGACCTAGGTTTGTTCCAACCTCAGTATCTCCAAGCATATAATACGGTGCGTGAGCTTTGAAGTCCAACAGATCCACATTCAAAATCTCAGCTCCAGGGATTCCTGGGTGGCTCAGCAGTTTAGAGCCTGCCTTTGGCCCAGGGCAGGATCTGGAGTCCCGGGATCGAGTCCTGGGTCGGGCTCCCGGCATGGAGCCTGCTTCTCCCTCTGCCTGTGTCTCTGCCTCTCTCTATCATGAATTAAGTAGATAAATCTTAAAAAAAAAAAAAAAAATCTCAGTTCCTACCTTTCCTTAAAAGTGACCATGGTGAAGTTACTTAGTTGATTCTGAGGGGTAAAGTGGAAATAATCCCCTCTGTCATTTTGTCATATTATCTGGCTGTTCCCCTGGTTGATTGGCCAGAATAGGCACCTCGCCCCATCTGGACGGTCTTCTTCATAGGTATTTGGGAATCGAGACTGAGTTTTTTCTAGTTAGACCTGAAATATTTGAAAATGAGATATACTGGGTGATCATATGAAGTTTGGGGAGCAAAAGTCACTAATAAACAGAATGATAAAGTAACTACCAAGGCAAAAGCAGAGACTCCTGCCTGGGGTTTTCTACAGCCCATCACTTGTGTATCCAAATATATTTTTGTTAAATCCAAATACAGGTAAAGCACGATTTCTCCAACCACACCACCCTTCTTGAATGTTACTTAGTACAGTAACCTTCCCAATTTTTGTTTATTTAACCTATACATAGACTTATACACCTATAAACACACATGGGTATGTGTGGATTTTGTAGGTTTTGCTTCGTTGGTCATAAGTGGCACCATACTTCATATATGGTTCTACAAATTTTTTTCTCACTAAGTTAATCAACGTTTCATTGACCTAGATCAATGTAACATTAAGACTACATGGGGGCTTTTCAACTTGATCAGCTTTTCACACTGTTTAGCATTGCAGGCAACATCTAACTGTTGGATAGTGGTTAGGAATCAGACTTGAGTCCTACCTCCTGAGTTCTATTTCCAGTCCTACCACTTACTACCCATGGATCAGAGGCAAATAGCTTCTCTGTGCCTCAGAGATAATTGCACCTTTAGAGTTGCTCTGGAGATTAAAATGAGTTGATAGGTAACACTTATCTAGTTCTACTCTAAGCACTTCACATGTGTTGACACTTAAAACTGCCTAGTACCTTGTACATGTTATGTATAGTAATATTTCACTTCCAATCACCCAGTTCAGAAGCTCCCCTGGCTGGGATCCACACCTTGGCAATGGCTGGAGAGAACAGGGGTCATATTTATTCTCTTCCTCCATACTCACTAGTCTGTGCTTGCTGATCATTATGTTGAATTGTGTCACCCCCCCCCCAAAAAAAAAAGATAGTTGGGAGTCTTTAAGTCCCAGTATTCCAGAATGTGACCTTGGAAATAGGATCATTGCAGATGCAATTTACTAAGATGAAGAAGATGAAGTCAGGCAGTATTTCTCCACTGTGTTCTTGACCTCTTTTACTGATTCTCAAGTGGGCTTCAAAGTCATCTGGAGGTTAAAACACAGATTGCTGGGCCCCACCTCCAAGTTTCTGGTTGAGTAGGTCCAGGTGGGCCTGTGAATTTGCATTTTTAAAAAAAGATTTGTTTATCTGAGAGACAGAGTACGCAAGTGGGAGGGGCAGAGAGGGGGGAGACTCTCAAGCAGACTCGCCATTGAGCATGGAGGCCAACAGGCCCCTGTGATCACTACATTTTTTTAAAGATTTTTAAAAATTTTATTTATTCATGAGAGACACACAGAAAGAGGCAGAGACATAGGAGAGGGAGAAGCAGGCTCCTCTCAAGGAGCCTGATGAGAGACTCGACCTCCAGACTGGGATCACACCCTGAGCCAAAGGCAGACACTCAACCATTGAGCCACCCAGGCCTCTGTGATCACTACCTGAGCCAAAATCAAGAGTTGGAAGCTAAACCAACTGAGCCACCCAGGCACCCTTTCTTAAAAGATCTTTTTAAAATTCTCTTCTTTCTTTTCCAATTGCAGGTTCTCAATTGAAAGATAAAGTCATTCAGGATGTTGTCTCAGAGAGTGAGTTAGGGTATAAACACTTTTGGAACCTGATTTTGTAAATCGTCTTTTTCCATCTTTACTGCAAACACACCAGTTTCTTTTTCATCTGGGCCAGTGGCTGGAAACATGATTCACACAGTAAAACATGAGAGCCCTAGCTTTCCTTTAAGGGCATACTACTGTTAACAGCACCCTAGCTCTACAAATCAGTTAGGCTTAGGCTGGTGTTGAAACTGGTTTATATTCTATACTTGCTAAGGATATAAGGGGTCAGCTTTAGCATGCAAAATATAGCCATAATTGAAAATCACCACATTTTCTCTTAGGGTATGATAAACATAAACAAGGTCAAAGTGCAGTGCTATAAAACTGCCTCTGGCTTTGAAGTATGCAAGCCCACTTGACCCTTGAGCAACACAGGTTTGAACTGCACAGAGCCACTTTTATGTTTTTTTTTTTTTTTTTGATAAATGCAGTAGAGTACTGTAAATGTATTTTCTCTTGCGATTTTCTTAGTAACATTTTCTTTTCTCTAGCTTTATTGTAAGAACACAGTATAGAATACATGTAACATACAACATACATGTTCATTGACCATGTATGTTATTGGCAAGGCTATTAGTAGTTACATTTTTGGGGAGTCAAAGTCACAAGTGGATTGTTGACTGAACAGGGGGTCATTGCCTCAAGCTCCCATGTGGTTCAAGGGTCAACTGTATTGTATGTATTGTATTGTATTGTATTGGTATTGGTCAACTATATTGTAAAACTATCTATTTTAAGATGAAGTATTATATTTATGCTATATAAAATCTTTTTCTAGTCTTTCTCTGGTACACAGAATTCTAGGAAGGAGGCTATCCTGTTAGCCAAAATGAAACACCTCAATATTATTGCCTTTAAAGAATCATTTGAAGGTAAATATGAATTCCCCCAAATAAATGCATTGTGGAATTTGATTTATGGCCACCAGACTTTCCTAAAGAATCATCTGTTTGTTTTAGCTGAAGGACACCTGTATATTGTGATAGAATATTGTGATGGAGGGGACTTAATGCAAAAGATAAAGCATCAGAAAGGAAAGTTGTTTCCTGAAGATATGGTAAGAGACTGGCTTACATGGTTTCTCTCAAGGTTTAGAAGCAAATTTCCTTATAGAATTTGTATAAGTTCAAATAAAAGTGTTGTACCTGTGACTATGTGATACACTTTTTAGAAACAACTTATTACTATATCAGTGCTACTGCTTTGTGTGCAGGGATGTGGCTGCCTAAGATATTTTAAGGAAGTTAAATAGATATGCTTATAAAATATCAAGGAATAAAACTTCTGTGTTTAAAAGAATTACAAAACTGTATTACTCATATTTTGTCCTTTTGAATTTTGTTGTATTGAAATTTTAGAAGACAAATGGATTTATTTACTTATTTTTAAAGATTTTATTTATTTATTCATATAAATAAACATATTCATAGACACATAGAGAGAGGCAGAGACATAGGCAGAGGGAGAAGCAGGCTCCCTGTGAGAGCCAGATGCGGGACTTGATCCCAGATCCCAGGATCACGCCCTGAGCCAAAGGCTGATGCTCAACCACTAAGCCACCCAGGTGTCCCCCCCCCCTTTTTTTTAAAGATCTTACTGGATTTATTTTGCATTACTAGAGCATCCGAAGAATAAAGCCCAAATTCCTGTGTGTCGAGAATACCTATTCTCACACATTTTCCTTTTAATTGAAAACTGTGTATTAAATATGATTGGGATAAATTTGACTAAGGAAATATTTAAATAAACACCCTGAATGGGACTTAGTTTGATTTAGGGTATAACAGGTTATGAAAGCATATTGATATAAATATTTTTCATTTAGAAGTTGTGTTATTAAAACATGGGTTCCAGAGAAGGAGGGTCAACGTTGGCTTAGTGAACGAATCTCCATAACAAAAAAGAAAACAAACAATCAATCTGGCATTTAATTATAGGCCCCCTAGACATCTAGAAATTCTGAGTACTATTGACTGGGGATTTATGAGAAGAAAATGCTGACTTGCAGGTTGATTGACAATATAATGAAATCTTTTAATGTTAATTTATGAACATTCTGAAAAGGCAAATGAAAATCTTGGGAACCCTGGGTGGCGCAGCGGTTTAGGGCCTGCCTTTGGCCCAGGGCGCGATCCTGGAGACCGGGGATCAAATCCCACGTCAGGCTCCCGGTGCATGGAGCCTGCTTCTCCCTCTGCCTGTGTCTTTGCCTCTCTCTCTCTCTCTCTCTCTCTCTCTCTCTCTCTCTCTGTGACTATCATAAATAAATAAATAAAAAATTAAAAAAAAAGAAAATCTGATATGATGATTACAAAAAGTTGTAGCGTATTCATTCCTTAGTGGTGAGCTTTATATCTATATGCATATATATGTATATATATGTATATATGTATATATGTATATATATG